TTCTGATAACAAAATTCTAAACTTGAAGCAAACACGGATAGGAAATGTGCGAAATAACAACGATCTGGCCGGATATTTAAATCTTTTACCTGGAAGATCAAATATTTTAAGTGAGAATTATGCAAAAGGGTACCCGGTTATTGACAGAAGGGTTAAAATGAAACTAACGTAGGTAAAGGTCGCCAATCAGTTTTTATATAATACTATACCCAACGAAATTCAGCCCGTTGTTATTTTATATTTTTGTTATACAATTTTTTAATGAATCATGTTTGAGCCTACGTTTAGATGGTATATTTCTGTTAAGGCGTATCCTGTAGCCGGATTTATGGCACGAGTCAAGTGGTCGCCGTCGCAGGCAAATATCGCTTTTTCAAAACACCACAAGTGTTTATTGCGTTGCCTGCGACACTTAGTCCCTAGGACCAGACCCTGCCATAAATCCTGGAGTCTCCGAACGGAAAATAGAAAAGTGGCCCACGACTTTTGCCAACGTCGATGGGCCACTTGACTTTAACAAAGTCTAGAAAAGCGGAGATTCCACAGGATTCTCACGCATCCGTCCACCGAACACTTTCTCCGGTCGTTGTTTACCTCACCCTAAGATAACGCGCTAAGGGCGAAATGGAGGGACGTTGCGATGCACCGAAGTAAACTGATTGGTGATTTAGAAAAGGAAAAATTACCAATCAGGGTGTTTTTAGGAAAATAGAAATCTTTTTCGAGGGAAACCGCAGAGACTCCGGCAGAAACATTAACCAACTCGCGGAAGAAACACTTGGCCACTCGCAAGTGAAACACCTCTCACTTCGCAATAGAATTTAGAACACTTAGTTGTAGAAAATAGAACATAAAATAAAAACTTAGTGTTTCAATCAAGAAACTGGTCCTTCGAAGCCTTAGAACTTTAGTCGGCACACACGTGCAAAAACCGGCAAAGCTTGAACGATCGAAAGATCAACCGCAAGCCCCTAACAATTTCTCTTATTCATACAGTTATGCAGAAAAAAGTAGACACCCTGTATAGCGTGTAGACGCAGCTAGCTTAACTTTCAGAGGGTTAAATATCTTGCACACATTTTCACGAAACAATGTGTTGGCTCCCACAATGTTCATGAAGCCTGATTATATAGCAAATAACTCTTTATTTGCAACACAGTTTGTTATGTAACAGTAATGCAATGTAACTGAGTTCTTAAATGTTAAATGTGTGCGAGTCCAATGTCCTGAGGTTCAACTTCGTGTAATCGTTCGTACCAGAGTTCAGATTCTATGTTTCACTAATGTGTTCTTACAACAGTGTCCTTTATGTCTATCACCCCAGTCCCTTTATACGGTTTTTGTCCCTTGACGGGGGTGAGATTTGGGTGGGGGGCCAAAACTCCCAATCAAGTTAGGGCCTTTGTCGACGCCCGACGCCAACCGCTCACCCTTTGGGAAGGGGTGTTCTGGGTGAGGTACGCGTCACCTGAGCTTTTGGGAAAAACCCAGAGTAACGCTCGCTCGCTCGCATGTGCCTCAGCTCACGTGAGTTTATGATACGTCAATTGCTATTGAGATGCACGAAGAAACTCCAAATTCTCTGCTTTTATGAGAGGTTTGGAGCCCTCCTGAAAACATTAAACGCGTATTCAAACCTTAATCTGAAAAATAGCAGAGTCGCGTCCGTATCGTAAACCTGGTCTAAACTTAAGTATCCTTAACACAATGCAATTCAAACACAATTCCCCCCCGTACTGATTTCTTGGTAAAACGTTTTATTGAGAAAGAACTTGCCGGAGGAAAGAAAGTACGCTAATTACGCCCACTTATCTCTAATTACCCTAGCCTCTTTCCTAATAAACACACTTTCGCGCGATGCCTTGTCCCTTTTGTGGTATCTCGTGCACGCGCGCTCGAATGGCAACGAAAGTGAGCCACTTTTTATCGACGGTTCTACTTTTCATGTTCGCCGGGAGTAGGCAAGGTGCTCGTAAAACGGAAGAATAGCCTGGGATTTCCGGTCATTTCACGACAGATGCTATTTCGAGAATGTTATACGTATATTCGTTCGATGCCCCCGGTCACTTTTTATTGCCGCGAGAACTGTGCCAATGAGACGTCTTAGAGTGGCTTTTGCACGATAAATTGCCTAGGAAAATACTCGGGAATTATTTCCGACCACTTGTGATTAGGGTTTCCGGGACACGGAACCGGATTTTTTTCATTTCTTCCACTGGGTTTCGAAAGTGATTTTTGGAAAGAGTAGCGAAATTTGAGTGTCAGAAGCTTTGACATGTGTCGTTAGATTGAGGGTGAGTTTAATTGAATTTTTGGAACATAGACTATTTTGGAGTTTGGAGTAGTTTTGGATTGAAGAGAATCTCGAAAATGTCGAGGGACAGAAAACTTGGAAAGTCAATATTTAAATCGTGATTGATTTGGAATATTGAATTTTTGAAAAATGAGATTTTGGAAATTGGAGTCTTAGGTAATCGATGACTCTACATTTTCGGGAATCCAGACAATTTTGTATCTCAGAGACTTTGGAAAATGGACATTTAATTCGTGACAGATTTTGAATACTGAATTTTTGAAATTGGAATCTTGATGATTTTATACCTTGGAAAAATTTTGAACGCTGTTTAAAAAGATTTTTAGATGGTCCGTTAACCTTTAATGTTAATTGCGTTTCTACAATGCCATAGAATGTTGAAAAAAATTGCAGTTTATTAGTATTAAATGCTAAGGGATATTTAAAGCGGAAATATCCTGAATAAGGTGTGAATGAATAATTATCAGACAGAATGTAGAAAGAAATTAATCACTTGGTAGATATGCACACTGAATGAGGAATTATGTGAAAGAGCGCTAATTAAACGAGACGAAAAGAAGCTTGATTGCACTCGGAGAATTTAGTAGGGTCTCATTAATCAATCGTACCAGCGAAAAGCTCGCTGATCCATGTTGGTCTCTCTTGCATTCCTGAAGTGAAAATGGCGAAGCGACACTTGGTCGACCCAAAATTCGCGTCTCGTCCTTTATTATTCAGTGGGGAACGTTTGACTTCTCACAACTAATCTCTCGAATCCATCATTTAATATTTCAATAATGTTCCAACGCTTCAAAAATTCCCTTACATAAATAATTCCTGAATAGAACTTAAAAAAAGAAAAACAATAGATTCTAACAAAGACGTTTAATGTTGCTAATGACGAAAAATTGGACACAAATTAAACAGTCCAATGTTTTATAAATAATGTAGTTATAAATAATAAGTAGTTATAAATAATAAATAATAGCTACTATGCAATAAAATATAAATAAAAAATACAAGTGCAATCTATTTTTATCAAATAACAGCTATATGTATGAAATTAGTAACTTACAATCTAGCATATTTTACGATTTGAAAGCTCAGGGTATTTTTTTCATTTGAGATGTAGGATATTTTGGAATTTGAAAGTTTGAGATTTTTCGTTTCAGATATGGGACATTTTGATATTCTCAATTTACAGTGTAGGATATTTCGAAATTTGAAACCTTGTGATTTTAATTTGCAGTGTGGGAAATTTGAAATTTCAAAGTCTGGAGTTTTGAATTTGTGGTATAAGATGTTTTTAAATTAGAAAGCTTGGTGTCTTTAACTTTCAGTGCACGATATTTTGAAATTTGAAGAATTTTCAACGTTTTTCATTTCATCGAATCTTATTTTGTTTAACATTATTTACATTTTCTTTCACCGATTATTCGACACTAGTAAAGTACGTATATTTAACAAGTACCATTTTACATTTCATCCTTTCACGTTTTCTGAATAAGTGTCTTGCATTTCGATCAGTTTCTCTTCTAAATTCTAACTGTTTCATGAAACAAATTACAAAAGTAAGAAAAGATACGATAGATAATTAAAGAGCGTGGAAAAGGGGTAGACGGGCCGTTTCCATGAGGGGCATCGATATCTCGATGCTCGAGACGCGCGTGAAAGTTCCCTGCAGTCGCCGATAACCCGTATCTCGTCGCAGGGACATAAATTCATGGCTCCAGCCGGCATAGAATACCGTCGACCCACTTATACACTGTGACTACTTTCACTTGCGTCGAGCAGAAGCGCGCTCACGTGAACAATGCCCTAATAATTCGATCGTTTGATCGCAATGTCCTTGTTCAGCCATGCTTTTGGTCGCTTTCATCTTAAAGAAGCTAGAAAAATTTGAATCCCACAAACCTTGGAACGTGGATATTTAAATCGTGATTGATTTTGAATATTAAATTTTTGGAAACATGTGATTTTGGAAATTCGAGTATTAAGCAATCCGTGATTTTACATCTTTGAAAATCTAGCCAATTATGAATCCCACAAACCTTGGAAAGTGGATATTTAAGCCGTGATTGATTTTGAATTTAAAATTTTTGGAAAATCTCATTTCTACATTTTTTGGACACTGTTTGCTTTTCCCCTGCACCCTTTAATTGTTTCACGAATGCAGAATTATTGGTAGCTTTTTAAAATTGGAATAGCGTTAAAAATTTTCAGTTATACTAAGATTGACAAATTCATATTTTCAATTATTTTGTGAATTGCTAGTGGGTTTGGAAAATTAGAACACCTTTGAAAATAAAATATAAATCTATTATATTAAATCTTGACAAGATGATTAAAGTAGGTATATAATTATCGTATGCTAAATATTAAGAAAGATAAAATGTTAAACACAAAATATTTTACTTGTCTTACGCTGATTTTCTAACAATAAAAGTATAAGTGAACTCGTGTGAATGAAATGATAGCAATAATTGCACCGCCAGCTACTTTCTGCCGGGTTTCTACGAGTCTCTCTGTGTCATATTTTTCTTACAGATCGTTTGGAGAAAGTTAAACATTAGCAGGTTTCAATTTTTTTTTCACCATGGAAATTGCTCACGTCCGTGCGTTTCATAGAGGAATCACTGTTACTGCCGTCTGGTTTCGATGTTCCTCTGTGCTTTTTTCTTCTTTTTACACCAAATCGAACGAGAGATCAGCAAGAGACGTTTCTACAATCTTTTTTCTTCACCGCTTCGAAAACTTCCTGAAGCCCGCTTTCCTTTGCCATTGCACTTGTCGCTCTATCCACAAAAAACGTGTTATTAATAATTCGTTTATTTATTCATTTTGCGGTACGAATCCATTAAGATGCAGAATCATTTGGAAGAAAGATTGAAAATGGCTACAAAAGTTCAGTCTAAATAGTTACAGATAAATAGCTGCAAAAACATGTGAAAAATGAAAAGGCATGTTATAAAGAGAACAAAAAAAAAAGATAGAAGAAATAAATGATTAGATATGAGAATATAAATAACGTATAATCACAAGCACTAATTATAAGAAAATAAAATATCCAAGAAACTTGGTTATAAGAGAGGTATGCAGTGTGTTTGGTTTTTAATATCACAAATTCTTTTCTCCTTTATTTAATTGTAAGTTTCTCAAAATGTAATAGAAGTAAATTTCATTTCTTACTGCTTTCAGGATTTGCATTTTGAAGAATTAGAGCATTTTTGTGTAAAGATATTATCCTTTCTGTGTGAAATTGTTAAAGAGAGACAATAATTGTGTTTTATATGGAGTATTTATGGGTAATTTAAACATTTGCTCTGCTGTTCCACTTCCGTAATTGCATAGAGGCCGTCAGCCGGTTAGCGAGTCATTAAAAACGTGCTGATAAATATCCGAGTGCAAACGAACATCATTTTGAACATCTAATAAAGCGATTTTTAACCTACAAAGCGTTACGCTTTGTAAAAACTACCTTCTTCAAAATTAACTCGACAATCTTGAACTCGGTAAAAATTGTACGGACAAAAAATTTAGGACACCCAGTATACACTTATTTCCAATTCGAACATTTCTTCTTATTCAAATTTCTCTGAATGTAAGTACTACAAAATTACAAATTAAACCGCAATTACCTTTGGTCGCCATGTTTCACGATATTCCGTGAAATATTCAATTTCTCGGTACGTATTTCCAAAAATTTCCCCAACTCACAAGTACAATTTTTGTATTTTTCTCAAAAATATAAATGTCCTACCGATCCAATTTTTCAATATCCCGAAATAACAAATTCTATGAATTATATTGCCAGAAAATTCTCGGAATCGTGAATTCAATTTTTTGTACCTTTTTTCAAAAATGTAAATATTCAAGGAATTCAATTTTTCGAAATAAATTCTGCCAATTGTATTGCAGAAAATTTCTCCAATTGACGAAAACAGTTTTTCGTATCTATTTTCAAAAATAGAAATATTCCACCAATTTAATACTCCAAAATAACAAATTCTAGGAACCACGAATGCAATTTTTGGTACCCTTCTATAAAAATTGTTCTTCCCGCATGCAATATTTCAAACTAACAAATTCTACCAATTATAGATACAGAATCTCTTCTTCTTACATGTTCTCAGAAAACTGTGCATGCAATTTTCCGGAAAATTAACCGAACAATTACCTGGTCGCCAGGTTCCACAGGATGTTCTGCAACGTGGTTGCTCCGGCGTCGCCACCAGCTAAGATAATATCGCAGATCGATCTCTCCTCGCAGACGTTCATGGCATCCGTGAATCGCGCCTGTTTGTGCTCCACTGGCAGGTCAGTGACCCTCCATTTCGATAGAACTATGCTGGGCTGGCTGAAGGGATTTGTGCGTGATTAGAATGTAAGCAGAGGCGATCCTGAAGCGGAAGAATCGAAAGTATACTGACGTGGTGTTGTCAACCTTTACGACATTCGGCGTTAGGGCGGCTATGAGCAGGCCCAGAGGCAGAAACGCGCCAATCAGGCGGAGGATCTTCTTCCAGGGTGACACTCTGGTAATCAGAATGGATGATCGAATGATAGTTAAGTGATGATTTATACTGCACTCGTGGAGAATTGTTTGATGATTCAAGAATTTCTTAAAATAAAAAACGCGTGATCTGGCTCTATATGATACTGCCACCTGTTAATGATGCTGCTAGTTAATATTCATCGTTTTTGTGACTGTAGCAGTCTTTTATTTTAAACAAATCTCTGAATGTTCATTTTGCAACGTAAATTATTAATATTAATCTCGTTAAATAGAGAGATGTTTCTACTTTCAAAAAAGTCACATTTGGTTTGTTTGATATGTAAATTCAATTCAACGTATTACTTCAAATATCCGAACGTGAGGTGTGGGATAATTCCAGCCAGTAGTTTATAATGCAAACTAGACACTTCGAGCTATCAATTAATATCAAGAAACTGACAAATGTGTAACTTGTTCGAATTTTATAGCATTTCTTGTTTATGTAGCCGGAATTACCCCGCTTTCCCCTAAGTGAGAAAAGATAGAAACGTGAAAAATAAAATTCAGAGAGTGGAGGAGAGAATTAAAAAGTCATTGAAAATTGGTAGAATGAGAATCGAGGAAAATAGGAATACCTTTTTCTAACAGGATAATTCGAGTGTCCGCCATCGTGGAATTCAATTTGATGATTCCCAACAACTGGCTGATGAACAAAGTAAGGATACTTCTTGGTCTTCAGGAACGAAGACTCCTGAACGTAAATCACCCCATTACCAGGCTTCTTCAATATTTCGTAATCTTGCGAACTCTGTTGATTTGCCTGATGATCATAAAATCCCGCGTAATTCTGTGTCTTCAGAGGATCAACCTTGAGAAAATTTCCCACTTCATGTTTGTGAGGTTCACTCTGAAACTTGGATGGTTTTCCTAACAAAGTATAAGCTTCTTGCTCGTAGGTAGGCTTCTCTAAATTCTGAAACACCTGTTGATCCACTAAATCATACTGTGCCCCAACATTTTCCATCGCTGGATAACCAAACTGTTGATCCGATGCTTGATCCTTCGAAGGTCCGCCATATTGGTATCTAGGAACATTTAATACATCATTTTGGAATTTTACAAAATTGTTCTGCTCTGTCCCATCCTTTTTCCCCTCTTCCGACGAACCAGAAACAGTTTCGTGCAAATTCTGATGGATGTATCCTTGATGATCAACTTGAAGAGACTGCGCAGTGGGTTGAAGGACAAACCGGAAGTCGTTCAGGTGCTCGTAGTAGGAACCAGGATCCGCACCACTGTCAAACTTGAAGTGATGAAGATTGTTGAAGGGACCGCTGCTTATTCTGGACTCTTTGATCTCTCCTAGATGCACACTTGGTCGAAATTCTCTGGAGATGTTCTTCTTGTCTGTGACGGACAACGTCAGTTTCCGGTAGGTTTCTATAGTTGTCGTGGGCTCGGTAGTAGTCGCTGACTGCAGAGAAAATTGGTCTTCGCTGGAGGATTCCTCGTAGAACTCTTCAACTGGCTTCACTCCTTCGTTCGCGGATTCGTTTCTCGATTCTTCAATGCCCTCGCCGCGAGTCGCGACGACGTACAAGAGGAAGACGAAGAGCAGAAGTTGCGTCGTAGGAATTTCAAGGTTCATGCTGCTGTTCGAAGTTTATTACAGTGATGAAAGTATGATGGAGGACGACGAAGACGTTTCCATCGCGATGTACCCGTTGGACTAAAGAGGAGCTTTGGCGTTTCGGCGTCTTTAACCCGCGAGAAACCAACGTCGTCGCGTTCTCTAAAAAGCGTGAAGGCGATTTCGTCTGCTAATCGTCAGCCTCACTCCAATTGTCGTTGACAAAGTGGTCGTTTAGTTCCGGCAGATGTGCCAGCGAAGAAAATCTCTGAAGGATTTCAAGGATACACTGTTGCTCAACATTTCTGGAGTCTACGAATAGGGTAGTTTTGTTTGTGATATCATTTTGTAGTATCGTTGAAGAAAAAAAATAGAAGTTCAGGATATCTTTAGTTTCTTCGTTCAACAATTTGTTCTCTTTGTAAGTTCCTTGTATGTAGGTTGAAAATGGACACCTTATGTGTACGTATATTCTTATGAACCTAATTTGATACAGTTACGCTTGTAGTTTGCCATTGTGTGCTACTATAGTCTTCTTCCTTGATAACTGTTCCTTTAACCACACCGTTATTTCTAGGTCACCCGGTATAATTTCCATATGCAGAGCATCGTAAACTCAGTTTAAGTCGAACTCCGTAACTTCGTAGTCCTTCGTTGTACTATTTGCTGTAATGCACCAGAGATGTAGTTTAATTGCACAATATAATAGAATAACGCAACAGTATAGTATAGTAGTAATATACCATAGCAACGTATAGTAGGATAGCACAATAGTGCACTCTGCAGTGCTACTAGTGTAGCATAATTGTACAATATGGTAATACAAATCAGCAGTATAGTTTAAAAGTATAGTATAATAATATGCATAGAATAATGGTATACCATAGTATAGTAGGATGATATAGCAATATGGTACAGTAGTATAGTATAACAGCATTGCATAGTAGTATAGTAGCATAACATAGCAGCATAGTATAGTAGTATACTGTATAAGCACGATATAGCAGCTGGACATAGCAGTATAGTATAGTAAAGCTATATTGTAGTGCAGTATAGTAGCACGATATAATAATACATTATAGTAGTATGGTATAGTGATATATAATAGTGGTATGGTATCGTATAGCAGCATAGTATAGTTGTATAGTGTAGAAGCAGGATGTAGCAGTATGACATAGCAGTATAGTATAGTAAAACGATATAGTAGTACAGTATAGTAGTATGATGTAATAATATATTATAGTAGCATGGTATAGTGATATATAATACTGATATAGTATAGTATAGCAGCATAATATAGTGTAGAAGCACAAGACAGCAGCAGGACATAGCAGTACAGTATAGTAAAACGATGTAGTAGTACAGTGTAGTAGTACGATATAATAATATATTATAGTAGCATGGTATAGTGATATATAATAGTGTTATAGTATAGTATAGCAGCATAATATAGTGTAGAAGCACAAGACAGCAGCAGGACATAGCAGTACAGTATAGTAAAACGATGTAGTAGTACAGTATAGTAGTACGATATAATAATATATTATAGTAGTATGGTATAGTGATATATAATAGTGGTATAGTATAGTATAGCAGCATAATATAGTGTAGCAGCACGAGACAGCAGCAGGACATAGCAGTACAGTATAGTAAAACGATGTAGTAGTACAGTATAGTAGTACGATATAATAATATATTATAGTAGTATGGTATAGAGATACATAATAATGGTATAGTATGTAGTCGAATATACCAAAAATTCGGAACTATACCTATTTCGGTCTCTTTTTACACGGCACGCATGCAGTATCGTGTTTAACAAAATGTGTTTAAAAATTGATTTGCAGCAAAGTAGAAAACTTGTGTTAAACTAACGCAAAGCGTACAAAAAGCAATTTAAAATATAGAGATGCATTCAATGAAAATATTTCATTTAATAAACATACGAAAGAGAAGTTAATAGGGCAAACACATCTTCACTGTACAGTATATTGAAGAAACGATGGATTTGAAATTAGCGTGCATTTTTGCAACCATGCTGCAGTAAGTAAAACCTGCTAAAAAAAACCGTGTAAAAGTAAATAATACGCGTTGAAGAAAAAAACCATGTAAAAGTTAATGAAACGTATTAAAAAACCGTGCACCGAAATACCGTAAAAAGAGACCCAGGTGTACTGTACATTGTAAGGACGATAAGAACTGGCAGGAGGTAATTAAAAATTAGCAATTACGTCAAAAATGTGTTAAAACAGCCGAAAAATTACTTTTAAATCGATAACAAAATTAACGATATGTTCGATTTCAATGTAATTAAGCAAGTGATTGTGCAGTTTTGACCGACGCGACGGTGTACAGTGTCGCGATAACATCCATCGAAATGGTAGTTTCTAGGCGATCGGCTAATTACGATTGTCAACCATCATCCATCTTTTCTCCGGTGTATATATAGTATAGTATAGCAGCATAATATAGTGTAGAAGCACAAGACAGCAGCAGGACATAGCAGTACAGTATAGTAAAACGATGTAGTAGTACAGTATAGTAGTACGATATAATAATATATTATAGTAGTATGGTAGAGTGATATATAATAGTGGTATAGTATAGTATAGCAGCATAATATAGTGTAGAAGCACAAGACAGCAGCAGGACATAGCAGTACAGTATAGTAAAACGATGTAGTAGTACAGTATAGTAGTACGATATAATAATATATTATAGTAGTATGGTATAGAGATACATAATAATGGTATAGTATGTAGTCGAATATACCAAAAATTAGGAACTATACCTATTTCGGTCTCCTTTTACACGGCACGCATGCAGTATCGTGTAAACAAAATGTGTTTAAAAATGGATTTGCAGCAAAGTAGAAAACTTGTGTTAAACTAACGCAAAGTGTACAAAAAGCAATTTAAAATATTGAGATGCATTCAATGAAAATATTTTATTTAATAAACATACGACGAAAGAGAAGTTAATAGGGCAAACACATCTTCACTGTACAGTATATTGAAGAAACGATGGATTTGAAATTAGCGTGCATTTTTGCAACCATGCTGCAGTAAGTAAAACCTGCTAAAAAACCGTGTAAAAGTAAATAATACGCGTTGAAGAAAAAAACCATGTAAAAGTTAATGAAACGTATTAAAAAACCGTGCACCGAAATACCGTAAAAAGAGACCCAGGTGTACTGTACATTGTAAGGACGATAAGAACTGGCAGGAGGTAATTAAAAATTAGCAATTACGTCAAAAATGTGTTAAAACAGCCGAAAAATTACTTTTAAATCGATAACAAAATTTACGATATGTTCGATTTCAATGTAATTAAGCAAGTGATTGTGCAGTTTTGACCGACGCGACGGTGTACAGTGTCGCGATAACATCCATCGAAATGGTAGTTTCTAGGCGATCGGCTAATTACGATTGTCAACCATCATCCATCTTTTCTCCGGTGTATATTATCAGTACGTTAACATCTCTTCGGTGAGGTCGGAACGAAAGTGGCCGGAAAAAATAAGGAGGAAAGAACAACCGCGAAAGGGGATAGCCTAGATGTCGGGACGATATTCATGCATCGACAACCAGTTTCCATGGAAAGTACACATCGGAATAATGAAACGTTTTTACTGTCGTGGAAGCGGCGGCGCTAACGCGAGAAGTCACGAAACTCCTAGGCCTTCGTAACCGGCCATTTTATATCGGATTTCTCGTACAGATTCTGGGACACTTTTCACGCTGGCCGACTGGCAAAACGAATGAAAGAAAGAAAAAAAAAACGAATGGCATTTCCCGCGACGCTAGACGTCTCCTTTTCGATTCGCACTTTTCCCTGGTTTCTCCGTTCTCTTGCTTGCCGTGCCGTGGAAATCGCTATGATCAACTCTTGGATCTTAAGCTCTCGTGATACAATAACATCTGGACTCTTTAAAGCTAAGTGGGTTATAGATTTTTCGAATTATCTCAATCTTGAGTAAAATTATTCGTTAGTATCTTCTGATATTCCTGCAGTTTCTTCGTCGTAGATTTTGAAACTCTGATACTGCACAAAATTGATAATGTAGGTTATAAATTGTTTATCAAATTTGCCTGCAAAAGGATTCACCATTTTGGAATATTTTCAGAAATCTTTCGAACAGTTTTTACAAATCTTATTTTAAAGATTTCCAAACACTGAAAATCCACGTTTCCTTACGAATAAGAATTTTTTTTTCTTATATTGAGATATTTAAAGGTTTTTTGAATTAATTAAAAAATATTGGCAAATAAACATGTTAAATTTTGACTTACAAACGGACTTACACCACTTTTTAAAAAAGCATTTACGCAATAACATTTGAGCCGTTTCTTTTTAAGTGGTACAAGTCCAACTTTGAAAGATACGAGTTAAGTCTAGTTTCAGCTAAACACGGACGTCTTGTTTTCATATTTATAATAAGAAAGTCAGTACCTACACTCCAATATCCTCGTGAACTCGCCAAAAGAAGTTTAACGGTGAATTTTTAATTTCAATACAATTGCAATAAAATATTGCGAATTTCTCGATGAGATGGAAAAAGGAGTTCAAGGATAAGATCTAGCCGTAGACAGGAAATCAATGGGTAGAATCGATGAATCGTTAAGAGGAGGAAACGTACCGGCTGGTCGGATTTCTACGGGCGAGGCGTAAAAAGGAAGGAAAAATGCTTTATTACACGGCTTCACGGAATGTGAGCAAAGAGCGGAAAGGGGTGAAAAGACTTTCTAAGGCGAGTTTTATCAGCGAGCGGCGAGAGTCTGACCTTATTTCAAACGGAGGTCAACTCGTGCTAAGGAACTGGACGAAGCAGATGTTAGATGCAAGATAAACCCGTACACTACCACGTACGACTTCTCCATGTCCGAATAGTCATCATGACTGACGACTTTTAATTAAGTTTCAAACGAAACGTTTCTTAGAAAATCCGACTACTTCTCGTAACTCATTCGACAGTTTACATTGACAATTCTGGAATACGCAGTGCAGAAGTCTACTGT